AAAAGAACGGAACATAGCGATGGTTTTGATAATAATTATGATAACCAGTTCGACTATGAAAATTTTGAATTCCCGCTGTAAAACTTCCACAACTGTTAGCGGCGTGGAGTCAACACGTGCAAACGTGTCAAAAGCGTGAACGTGAACTGGATTCATGTTGGGCCCTTCCCATAAACTGACACGTGGATCCGCACCTGCCACGCACTTCGTCACAGAAGCACTTCCGGTCCCGCCTACTGGTCCAATCCGGTCCCACAGATGGGTCTTTCCAAGGGCTGTTTCTCTTGGGGGTTTCATCATTTTCGCTCTGAACTTTGCATATGGTCTTCAATGACCATGCCCAACACCTGTACACAAGGAAAGGATAAGCAGTCTTTCCGTGGAAGATTCCTTTAAGGTAAGATTTGAAGCATATGATTGCCTACTCGAATTTCTTTCGTTTTCGAATGAAATGGTAGAACTTGATCAGATGTTCTACCTGCAGTTGATCCGGCTTTATATCGAAGTGATAACTTGTGTGATCGCTGTATGTCCGGGCGTTACTAGTACCACCATGGGCGGAGATGAACTTAAACGTTAAATGGTTAGATACTCAAAGAAGGGGTTACTGTAATTGCTATATGCTTATGATGTACTTATATGACTCACTTTGTAGAACTCGCTCTCCTGTGGATACTTCTCTGTGCCTAAAAATAACATGTGCTCGCAGAAGTGTGCCAGTCCTTGTATTTCCCATGGATCCATAAGATTTCCTGAATCAACGCTATTACGAATTGCAGTTCAGCATATTCATGTGATCCATTCAGCAGTGTGTATTATATTCAGCAATGTGGGAGCTTGGCGATAGGATCGTGTGAGGCGCAGCAAACTGCACAAGAATTTTCGTGCGATGTCGATACATCAGAATTTTGGCAGCAGCAGTAGTACACGCCTCTCGTTCATTGTAGACGCCAAATGATCTGAACTCTACTAGGTCAGCTCAAATGGCTAGTAGGGGATTCATTTGCAGGTGTCACGAACAAATCGCCACTGGCCTTCCTCCGACTTTAAGCCCTTTCATTACCTGTCTGCAAATTCCTTATACTTGAAAGCAGTAGTAGCGGGCTGGTGTCAGAGTCCGCGAACCGTCGCGCGATTTGCGCGATTCGCAAAAATCGCAAGTGCCCCATTTGAACATTTGAAACACTGAATATGAAACAAGTAGAATCATGAACAGTCGTCATTCAACCATCACCATCAAGCAGAAATGGTGCGGGATTGGAGAGCACCTGCAGTATTGATCGGGCACTTGTGATTTCTGTGATCCGTCGCGACGGAATCGCGGAACTCTGACACCGTCCTTATCAGGAGCGTGATAGAGTGCCAAAAATCAACTTTTCAGAAGCTGTGGTAATACGTGTCCTCATTCTCATGCACCTCGGTGGTAGATTGGAACAGCGGGAGGCTTCTCATGCACCTTGGTGGTAGATGGGAACAGCGGGAGGCATATTTGTGGATTTGCCAGCCTTACCTCGCGCGCAATATTTTAAGGTACTAGCAACCAGCCCTTATAATGACTCCACATTGAATTTTCATATAGGTATCTGAGAGTTCATCTATCAGGTTGGTCAAACAGTATCCCCCCTTGTTTGATTGACCCGTACTTTCAGCGTTGTCTGTTTATACTTTGTCGTGGAGCGCCCATGGAGTGTGCAAGAGCCTCTCCATTCACTAGCCACCAGGGTCAGTCCTATCGTTGTTACTTTTTCAAAAATTTTTACGACCCCCCTCCCCCAAGGTGGATTTGGTACGACCCCCTTTTCGACCCTCGACCACCATATTCCTCTCTATAGTATTTAATTCTGGTACCACTCAACCCACCAAACTCCGCCCACTTTTTCCTCCAAAAATGCCGTCGAGCGGGGGGGGGGGGGTAATACAGTGTAGAGGCCAAGCGCCGGCCCCAGCCCTGCGCTATAAAGGATAAAGGATAAAGCATTTGCCGTTGATCAATCCCTTTTTGGGATGCGGCACGCATTCTACTTCCATTTGTACATTCGTAGTGGCGTTTGAATGCGATGTGGCCTATACAATGACTTGCGGGGGCCAGCCGATGTACAAGTCAGTGTTTTTATCCTCCCAGACAAGTCTGGTACCAATTAACCGACCCCGGAGGGATGGAAGGCTTGGTTGGCCCGGGCGACTCACGACCCAGGATTTGATCCCCGGACCGCTCGCGTGGTAAGCGCGTGCCACTTGCCACTACACCACTTCCGCCCATCCTATTATTCCAACTTATGGTTAGACCTTAACGCTGACGACAGAGAGGTTCACGTCGACATGTAAGTTGCAAAGGTCAAGAAACCGAAAGCCGCGTCGACCGTTGTCATGGACGGAAGCAGCCAGAACCTCTATCGCAAAGCGCCGCCCCCGCGGGTGGATAGTCATCTCATAACCTCAAAACATCTTCCAAAACCTGTACTTTAAACCGTTGACTCCCAAACGGCCTTAAGAGGGAAAAGACAGTCAAGGAACGGACATGAATTGAAAGCGGGCACTCCGCAAATTTTCCAGCGTCAAACTCCTTTCATCTGAGGCGAAAAACTTTCCGGCGAATATGTAGCTTCCCTTCAGAACTTGAATTTCATTCAGAAGTAGATGAGAGCTACCCACCGACGTTAACATCCATGGCAGCTGCAGCTTTATCTGTCGTTGGATCTGACACCAATAGCACCCGGAGACCATTTGTGAGCTCAAGACCTCGATACTGTAAAAATTGATTTGTTTCCCTTTTTGCACTCGAACCACAGTGAGGTGAAGGAGCATTGAACAAATTCATGAAGTGTAGGGTGGTCATTCGCTGTAGGATGAGGCGCACATTCGATTCTTACTCATGATCGAAAAAAAAACACCCCAGTGTTGGTCGATTCGCGCAATGTTCAGGTCAAGTGTCTTGTTTTGACCTTTGTCCTAACCTGCATCAGCCTCAAAAAAGCTTTCGGTAGTGGTCAAATGGACCTACAGCGTTAGTAGTCAAAGCGGGAAGCAAACAGGTTCTATTCAAAACGTCTAACCGACTGCAGTAGCCGTCACCATGCTTTGGTGTATTTCAACAACCTCTGCTCATTTTTGTCGAGAACGGTGTGTGAGGGTCAACATTTCCTGAAGCTCTGATGAAGGCCAGGAATCTAAACAACTGCGACTGAGCGTTACCTCAAATCACAACTCCGGTCTGTTTCCCTTTTTGCGCTCGAATCACAGTGAGAACTTAGCGTCATGGTAGACCTGGGTTGAAACGAATGGTTTTCTGCAGGTGCTTGCACGTGAATGATGACTATCTATGAGCAAGTGTGAGTTTTCTGAGTTTTCTTCGTCTTCCTAAGATGAAATCAGCATCAAATGACCGCAGCTAGTGTCAATCTAGAAGTCGAGGAAAATTTTTAATTACAATCACTTCCCACCCTACCCCCCCCCCCAGTGCGTGCCGCCCCATAAGGAAGGTTTCTGCAACTTGTTCTTGACTTTGCTAACGTTCGGAGCAGAAGTGGAAAATCGTGGTCATTTTTATGCCCATTACTGTCGAATTCCAAACCGAAAAGGTGACCGGGAAGTTTCTTAACTTGTACTATCTAAAAATGAAAAGTGTCGA